AAGATGTTTTTTTATAATGGAATTAAGTTATTCAATAATCTTCCACCCACTATAAAAAGTTTAGACCACGATATAAAAATGTTTAAGCCATCGTTAAGACAGTATCTCCTATCTAACTATTTCTACATCACCCAAAAAAGTATAAATGGTGATGGTTTCTCATCATAATTATTTTGCTGTAATTCCAAAAATCCGTAAATAGCTGCAATATCTTTGTAATCATATTTGTACTATAAACAGGTATTTTACTTGTGCTATGACCTGTTCTACATCATTGAATTAGGCCTATAAAGGATTTATGGAATGTAAATAAATTCTATTCTACACACACACACACACACATATTTTTAAACAAAAAACACCCAATTTCCAATCTTGTTGTGGAATTTGCATTTTATTTACACTTATATGTTCAACACAAAGTACTTGCATTGAAATATGACAGTGGGCGAGTGGCAGTGTGTAATATCACAACAAACAAAGCCGGGAGGTTACGATGCCGCAAGAATTTGATCATCACACATCAGGAAGCTAAAAATCATCAGTCTTCTTGAAATTCAGCAACACAATGGAACAGGCCCAATATTTTCTGCCTCTTGGTTTAAACAAACTCCTTAAAAAAACACATCTCTTGTCTGTCTCTTTGGCCTACCATTCTTGAAAACACAGTAAAGTATCACTACAATGAAGCTATTTCATTGTCACAAAAATTATGTCTTCAAAGCCAAGATAATGTTAGTATCAGATATCAGATAAAACTGATTTGTTTCCTAGTTGGTAATCCTTACTACCACGCAACCAATAACCCACCTGCTGTAATGTTTTAAACGTAGAATAATAGATATGTCCTTGAAAAATAAAACTATGTAAAAATTAGAGAAAAATTATGTATTTTAAATACAGCAAAGATCTAAACACAGAAAAATGTCAGTAAATATACTAATATCATGTCAGCAAGAGGTCGACATATCGTGATGACACCCAAAACAGGAGTGGTAATCACTGCGCAACATTTAATTGCTCTGGACGGGGCATACCACTGAGTTCCAGTTTCACTGATGATCACCAACCTAGCTTAAACTGACTAAACAGTAAACATGGGGTCTTGCCCCGCTCTTATTCATAATACACACCATTGGCCATTTGCACTGTCTGTCCACTGACGTTTTGCAGCAGACTGGCTGGATAAACTCCTGGAGCCCGAATGATTTGCCCCGAGGGTGTGATGAGGGCTTGACCACCGGCCAGTTGTACTGTCTGGTGTTGCCCCGAAGGCATTGCCGGTATAAACAATGCCTCCTGGCCATCCACTGTCACCGTCTGCATTGGCTGAACAACATTGTAAGCCAGATTCTGTCCACCTGCAGTTACTAACTGGGCCCCTTGCTGCTGTTTCACAAACGAAACAAAAAATTATAATGAAACTTCATTCAGTGACTAGAAATACAATACCAAAATCACTCTCATCTTTACCATACTATTTTTAAAAAAATATTTGAAATTTGATGCAGAAGAAATGTAGCACATGAAAGTGTGTCAACTTTCCCTTTCCGAAAGTAAATATTATGTAACCATGTGTGGAAAATTATCATATGGATCACATGAAATAAACTAATTCCCCCATGCTCTATGAAACACTATTAACGCCATGTCTCAAAGTGACCAGATTGGAATGCCACAACACACCTGCAGAAACTGGCCCGAAACTCCTTGCACTGAAACGACAGTCGGGGTAACAGCAGACGACACGAAAGTCTTCCCTCCTGAAGTTCCCGGCGTCGTCTGCTGGTTGTGTGCTGGGCCTTCGGTCGACGCCACGGCTGTCACGTGATGCTGCCCCGATTGATGGTGGATGGGAAGAAAGTTCTGTAATTGTGACAGCGTGATGACTTGGGGTTGCTGTTGCTGCTGCACGGTTACTGGGCTCGAGATGCCAAGATGATCTCTGGCGATCTGTGCCTGATGACCCGCCGCCACGATTGTAGCACTGCCCTCCGCCTGCTGCTGTGATTGCAGCTGCTGGAGAACGGCTGCGTTCAAAACTCTTATTTGGGAAGCCTGTTGCTGTAAGGCTAGCTGCTGAGGAACACCTCCTTCTTGGGGTTGCTGTTCGTGAGATGAAGATGTACCGATCTTGCTACACGTTGCAGCGAGAAGAGCAAGGGGGGACGGCTGAATCTCCTAAATGAGGCGGAGCCACGAACAAAATGGGATGTCAGCAGGTGCGTATGAACCAACAAGCAATGCTTTGGGTAGCCCTGGAACAAAGTCGTTACGCGCGCGCCTTGCGTTTTGCGGAGAAGCACACAAGGAACTCCCACTTTCCCACCCCGCCCCAAATGGACCACACACAAACACACACGTACATGCACACAGACACTTGGTCAGCTTACCTGAGATGTGGTGTTGGGCAAGATATATTCCGTCTTGACTTTGGTGGGTGCCGAGGACATTATTTGCTGTCTTCACGACCAGAAAAATTATTGTTTCCCCGTCCCACATACACATATAATTTCCATCAGCTCATGGCGGACACGTACTGACGAGAAATGACCAGATACATTTTCATCACATGTATCCATGCGCCGATCAATATCAAGGATTATACATTCAAGCTTATTTATATAGAAAGGAGGATAATAATCGTATTCTTATTATTCTTTAACATGAAATCCTTTTTGAGCCGCGTGCTAATCAGGTGCTGTCGTTATTATAGCTTAATATTGGAGGAACTATTTGGGGCGTCAACATCGGAAGTGTACATCAGTGATGCGGTACCGCGGTGCGGCCCGCTTGGTTCCACGGAAATAGCTGATTGGCAGTTGCTTACAATGCCCTACCCTGAGCCGAGTAAATTTGTTAGGGCTGATGGAACCAACTCGTTGCCTCCTCCCATCTTCTTTGCGCGACGCCAACCGCCTGTTTATGACAAAGGGAAAGGGTCGAACTCCCCATGGCCCGAGGGAGGGGACGTAAGATATGATCAAGGGGCTGGACAGGGATGGGACCTAGCTCCCCTACGGCCAGCACAAAATCACGAAAACCGCCCCTCTGCGTGGCCTGCTGTGCAAGGAGTCGATTGCACTAGAGAAGGGGAAATATATTTGGTGTTTTTAAAAATAAACGATCAGCTGATTTCTGTATGGCCTTCCTTCCATGCCTGTAATCACGTCAATGTGAGTGACGTTGGGGTTTAAACTTGTTCGATCCGTACGTGCGATAATCGATTGTGGGATAAAAACAAAAAAACATGTAAGAGCGAATTGGCGTTGCGTATTTAAAATGCTGCAACCTAACTGTCTCTTCAGACTGGTTATAACCTCACCGATGAACTGACTGTCCTTGGGGAAACGTTCTTACCTGCCACTGCTGTCGCTCTGACATCAGAACAAATCCTGACCTTGGAAACCACATGACTCACGTTCTGAACCGTAACCGAGAAATTGTACATTGTTGAGGCACTGGGGAAGGTTGTTTTTGTATTGTATGTGTTCTGCTTTAAAACTTTCCATCGCAGCTGAGGAAGGTTGTTTTTGTATTGTACGTGTTCTGCTTTAAAACTTTCCATCGCAGAACAGCAGTAGCGTTGATTTCCTGGGATTATATTTTGTGTATACGTATCATCTGCGACTATGAGTGACCTCAAAACATTATTACGATTGAATCATGTTATTATGGAGCATGCATCACTTGTCATATTGTTTAATATAATAAATAATCAGTTTAAACGTTTTCTGAAGAATACGTTACTACTGCTAATTATTTTCAGGTCTGTATTATTGTTTTCTGGTTGCAATTTGATGTTCGTACGTAATATTGTAACTTTAATACGCTGTCCTTCCAAGTAGTAATTCTTTTGTTTGTTATGAGGGTCTATAGTTTGTTGTAGGTTAGGTTTGCAGCCCTTCTTCGTGTGCGTACAATGAAACAGATGAATAACGTCAATTAATTTCGTGGATTCTGTCATTTTAATAAGTAAAATGTATACGTTATCTGGAAAATATCTTCGTAATCGACTAAAACTCTTGTTCGCAGGTTATTAAGCAACATTTGTCAACGTAATTAATGTCCAATTGTGTGGTCTTCTTTGTTTTGAGGCCATGGTTACCAACATGTCGGAGAAATATTTCGTCCCCGTCAACAACCCGACAGATGAAGGCGATGTGTCCCTCTGAAGCCAACAAGATCACAGTTAACCGAGTGTGAATAATTATTTCCACGACCTATTGAAAGATTTTCTTTTAGGAATTTGAGTCAAACTCGGTGATGGACCACGTGCCTCAGCCGAGATTAGACTTCGCGTCTCAGAGACTCTTTGCCACACGCTGGTCCTCGCGTGTTCCCAAGGTCGGACGATCGGGCGTGGTTTTGTTAGGACCTCGCCTCTCCACCCAAGTACGCAGGCATCGCGAGGGTCATCTGGTGGGATGAGTCCCAGGGGCGGGGCCGATGGCCCAGCGGATACAAGATAACCTTCCGCTCTGTCCACACACTTCGGGCATAATCGTGTATTTGGCGGGAAATTTGTATATGCGTGGGGAATCAGACTAAAAGAATGTCGATGTTGTCTCCGAAACGTCGGCGTCTAAAAGTCCACGCGGACCAACGCTGACATCTTCGCCCCTTCTCAAGCACTGCGAGTTGGGCTAGGTTTGATGACGCTGTTTCAACTGCAGAAGCTGTTCCCGTATAATTGCATGACTGGTGAACAGGAAAGGATTGCGAAGGATTCGGTCATGGTCTGTACAGTCATTTGCATGGAATCATGTGAAGCTTCAACTGAGGTCTTAACTGGGTGGACCGACTGTAGATTTATGATCTATTTGCTCAGTGCGCTAAGGCATGAACGTGAGACTGAGGACAAAGGGTCCACTCTGGTGACGTGTCGAATGATAGGTTTACAGTTGTCGTAACTTCAATCCTTACGTCCTTAAGTAGGAGGCGACAAGATAACACGTTTCTGAAGGGAAAAAAATCGAAAAATTGTACAGCGTGTTCGCCGATAAAGTTAAAAGCAACTGTCACTTCCCGACTTCCGGCAGGAACTTCTACGAAAGAAGTCGATTTTACAGAGCGATAGTTCCTTTACTCGGATCGGGAGTGAGTCGTGCAGTTCCAGCCTGAACCCCGGACGACAGTTGCGTTCAACTTCGTCAGTGAACACCCTGTATTTCATGTAATCTATGGCAGTTTTCAAGCGAATTTTTTCCAGTAGCTCCCCATTGAAATTTTGAAGAGTATTAGATAATATCTAAACCTCAGTTATCGACATATTAGACTTAGAAATATTCTAAAAATCCAGTGCCAAGAATGTAATAATCTTTGAGTCAGGTGTTATTCTACTCAAAAGTTAACTTACGAGCCAATTTTTAAGAAAAATTCCAGACGTAATTGAAATGTTTAGGCCTTTCCGTGTTCTGTGATATTGCGGGTTTCAAAATCAGGTCCCTCGGCGCCATGCAAATACTTCAGCCTATAATTTCATCAACGCCTACACATCTCTAAAAAACCAGAAATAAATGTACATCAGTCATCAATTCTAATTGGTTCTGACGATGAAATGAACGCATAATGTGGAGGACTTTCGCGTCTCTCCGCACGTACCATCTCCTCAACTGCATGACCAATATGGATTAAATTTGGCGTTACAGGCGTTCCGACTCAACATTTTAAAGTGAATTTAGATATATTTGTTTAAATTTGTCAGTCTAATCACAAAAGTTCCTATTAAATATTAAAATATTATTATAATTAACATTTAAATATTTAAAATATATTAAATGATGATCTCTATCGAAATATTCGATTTACATTAGATCAACACAAAAATCCAATGGGGAAAACTTCCTTCCTAGAATCAGGATTTGATACGACGAAGCTTATTTAGGCTATAAACCATCAGACTATTGTCTTTTGCCTAATTTTTGTCTGGCCGAACCACGTTCGCGCAACTGGCGTGAGCAGCGGCCTAGCAACTAGTGTCACTTGGAAGAGTCTATTACACGTAGGGAGCTTGGACCTGCTTCTAACGTAATCGGTTTTAAATTTTGAGCCTACAATCCGCAATTTTGAGTCTGATATTTTTTTTACTAAACTTAGTATAGCCTACGGCACTGTGAGACACCACAGATGATCCAAAGGTCGTTCCATCCCTATTACGCGTTCACTTTTATGCATTTTATGGAGACCAATTTACTCCGATGTCTTGTTCCTTAGGACGCGTCCGGGAGCAGGTGTTTCGAAGTCACCGTGGAAGAACATCTGGTGCCATCGGAGTAGCGTGCGTACAGTTCTTTGCAGGCTATTTGAAACAAGTCCTTCCCCTCGCAGCTTGGACAACGGAGGGGAACTCGATAAAGATTTGACGACAATTAGAAAACGCAACGAAATCCCTAAGAGATCTTCACCCCATGAAATATCTCGATTTATTCATTATTTCGTTAGGTTATTTAACCCTTTGAAGCCGAAGATCGTCTGAATATTATATATGAATTCAGTCCGTACCGCGAAGAAAACACTACACCTCACCATTACGAAAATCAGCTGGTTAACCCTTTGAAGCCGAAGCTCGTCTTCATAATATTTACGAATCCAGACCGTACCGCGAAGAAAACACTTCACTTAACCATTAGAAGTCGAATCAGGCGGTACCACATAAGATTTAACATCCCGGTCAAAGCCTTAATGACGCTGTTTCAACTACAATCGGGCGCGGAGACAAGACGAACGTGTGTTTAGAAACAGGCCTGGAGGGACTGAGGAAAACCACAAAGACCCTCTTAGGTAGCCCGTAAAAGTCTACAGCATTACAGCTACGATAAAATGATTGGTCACGTAAGGAGAACGTAGCATGCATAGGACCTACCTGCTCTTACTTTCTTTAATTCTCCATTCTTTCGTATTTTCCTGTCTCGTTATAAACACGAGAAATATTTGTTACCAGTTAGACCAGACCTGAACAACCTTCTTATATCAAGAGACCACATCGCTGTTTGACCTCCGGCTGTGTTACGTAACTTCAACCTGGCAGAACCAGTCTCTACCACGATAATTTTGTTTGATAATAAATGCAAGGAAATGTCGTGTTTTGTCGGCAATTCGTTTCCTTTTGAGTCGCCGTGGGCTTCAGACACCCGGGAAAACATTTACAGACACACATCAATGGTAATTTTCTTCTTTGCAGTAAATTTACAGTTAAAAGTTAAATGTTTCTGCTCTCTGAACCAGAATAATCAATTTCAGGATGTCAAAACAAGTCACCGCTGAGATAGATGGATAATTTTCTAGAGAGGGACATTATTATTATTATTATTTAGTGTTCTGTCTGACGACAGGTCCATATGAACAGGATCCTTCCATCCTTTTCTCGGACTGGGACCTGTTCATATACGTTCTTGGCAGATGATCCAGAAGTGGTTTGCCATTGCCTTCTTCTGTGTGTGAATGGAGTAATTGTTGGGATGCCACGGAGGAAAACTCCGTGTTGCCTAGACCACGGCCTTGCCCAACACAAGTTATAAATTCGGGCACCGCCGGGAATCGAACCCGAGACCCCAGGATTACAAGTCCAGCGTTCTAACCGCTA